AAGCGTACACTGAAAGTGCTGTAAGTTCTCGGTCAAACTTGGCGGACAGTCATGCGCAATATGAGCCGGTTTTTTTCCAAAAGAGTAAGAAAACACTTTCCAGCGTGGGTAGGGCAGGGTAAGCAAAAAGGTATAAATAGTTCCATCGCGTGGATACCAAAAAAGCCTTCTGAGTGATCTACAAGGTGCCTTCACGCTATTTAAAATTCCTTGGACAGCCTCTGCTGGCTACGGCAGAAGCTGCCACCATCAGGCTACGCCGACCGGTCCTGTGCGCCCAAAAGCATTCCGTTGCAGGGCCGCAGTTACCCGGCCCGAATGCAGCTAATTCAAAAGCCAGCATCCTATCACCTTGCTTGGCTACCAGTCCCCCCTAACGCTGTTCATATTTTTGACTCCGATTGCCCCCACCCCGCCCGCCCTGACAAAAACACACTTTTTTCTACCAACCTGCATAGTTTATTTGGTTAATTGCCATATAAATGTAAGCGCCTGTCGGTAGTTCATCGAAAACAAAGGTATGCTCACCAGTTTATATAATAAATATTCTCTGCTCATTGAGTGATGTTACATATTTCCTATTTTCTATTTGAATTTGCTTATTCTGCTAACTAATTTGCGTACAGCAGAGTATCACAATTTTACGCTTAAAACAGTTTTCAAAGTTTGTTTTCCCAACACATTTTACGAAGCGATTTGCTTGGACTACATCCGAATGCGTAATTAACTGGGCGTTTACTGTCAGTTTTTCATCAATGTAAAAGCACACTATCATAAAGAATAAATCTACGGCACTAGATTATCTCGTAAAAAGGTAGGTCACGTAACTTTGCTTTAGATTTAGGGAATATTTGATTAGTAGCTGCAGCTTAAGGGGCCCAGACGAAATGCGTTATGCTGTACCACAACAACGTTGTATGCCACCGGAAGTAATCCAATCATTTCCATATCGGCTTTGCACAACTTGGTATACTGGATGTTGATTCTGGAAAATGTGTATTTATGAGTAAGTCACTGCACCTTTCGATTATCCACCAGCTGTAAGCCGAAGTTATTAACGTAGATACCGAAGCACTATTCTTACAATCTACGTTTTGTGCTGCAGAATACTAAGGCGTAGAATTGGCAATAAGAAGAGCTGTCTGTACTTGCTCTTTGCCCAGCAACAAATGTAATTATGCATGCAAAGTTTCATCGAAGGACCATGCGATTACTACTTACATCGACCGCCTAAAATAGGTTTGGGAAAATGATAAGTGTAAAAAAAATGGACGCGAAGCTTAAATTGTGAGTTCATTTTCGTTGGATTAATGGATTAATTAGAACGAACTAGGTATAGTTTGAACAACCTGTCACTAGAAGTACTCCAGGAGTCTTTAAAAGCGACATTTATATTATCAGCAGAATTTATCACACTCAAACTACAGCCGAGTACAACTTTCTCTCTTGATGCGATCTGGCTGGTCGAATGAAGAGAACAATGCTTTTCAGACAACAGTAGTTTAAGCAGTACACACCATATACACTTTGTGTCAGCATTCTGCATTTCAGAAACGGTGGTTATAGGAGTTTGAAAGATTCTGACATAGGATAGGCAGAACATGAAATTTGTGAGCCCAAGTAAGCATTTCAGCATTTGAATATAGGTACTGTTATGACCTCCAGCAGTATCCTTATATATTTTTATTGCGCGGTATGGTTTCGGCAATTCTGGTACCTCGAAATAGGGTTCTGAGTTTAGTACGCCCGCATCGAAAAAGAAAGTATGATTGTTTTGTTCGCTTGCTTGCAACTCTGATGTAGACCTCTTATCTACGAAAAGCCTTTTCGTATATGTGATGCTACTCAAATTCAGTGGGATATCTTTGGTCGAGGTCAAGGATAAGTTCTGAAGTTGTGAGCAAGGCAACTGACATACGGTCAACAAATGTGGCATGTATATACCTGCTAGGGAATCTGCGTCATATTAAATAGGCAATGATTAGTCAGCCCCCTGCATTCAATATAATTTACTATAGGATCATGCTCTTCGAACATTAAATCACTTGTGAGGTCCCAATTTGCTTAGTTCTTGCTGCAGCAATGTTATTAGAGCATTTAAAGTAGACGTGCCAAATATCATTTCATTGCATAAACGCAGCTTGCGCGATAGTAAGTGTATAACTTCACCACAAAAACAGGGTGCGAATGACGAATAATTATTTAATTCCCAAATAATGTATCAGAAATATATACAAGATTTAACTCATTGTAATATAAAGGTCATCTTGTAGTTTATAATATTGGTTGACCATCAAGAAAGTGGATTGCTTTGTTTCTGAGGTTCTTTGTCGATGAAACTTTTGGCAGTACAACTGACGTATACAACCGTAAACTCCAAAAACATTCATGAAGTCGACTATCGTAACTCAAACTAGCGTTTTTGAATTTTTAGTTCATAATTTAATCTTGCGATCCAATAAACTGGTAGTAGTGCACCTCATTTACCCCAAGTTCCAGCATTTTGTGCTACGGAAACGGTGGCTATGAGGGCTTGGGGTGAGAAAACAGCACAGGCAATGAACTAACTTTGTAGAACTACAGTATTGTGAGTCCTGTGAGCAACTTGCCTAGATGTGCAAATGTTTGATTATTTCTCCCATATCAGTGAGAACGTATTTACGAAAACTTATTAATAATAATAAGCAGCATTAGGCATATTAAGCACTTAAAAGAATTACCAAGTGTTTGTCAAGAAAAATAAATTTTCTCGATAATTCCCAGGTTCTGAAGACGTAACAATTAGCTATAAATTAGAACAACTAGTTTAAATATTTTTTTAGTCTAAAACTTACAGCAATCACTTTGTTTATATACAAAGAACTTGCCTTAAGTCAAAATATTTTGTATGTATGGTAATGAGTTGATAACTAGTTATTCAATATCGTGGAATAAAGTCCCTCTTCATTTCGCTCGTTTTGGGTGTCTTCATTGATGAGATGATTAATTGCGCTTCTGTTCGACGTATACATCAAAACCTTTAAATTTAAAAAAAATTTCTAAGCAGCATTTA